CTAAAAGAGGTAATGTGTATAAATTTTAATATAGCCCATAGCACATAAGAAGAATGATTGATAGTTTTTATTGTTATTTTCCTTCTGTATCAGTCATCCTTAGTTATCCAACTAAGATATTGCCATTTTCATATAGGAAAAAAAATTATGAAAGCAGAAATCCTAGTCTGAGCCATATTTTCTCTTGATTTAAAAAGTTTGTTTCAAGCAAAAGAGAGAAAACACCTAGGATGAAATTCAGTTGTGGGCTAGAAATGTGGCTTGTCAGTAATCAATTTTTCTTCCTTATCATTTGTTTGTTAATTGGTTTGTTCATGGATTTACTTGCTCATTTGTTACCTGTTAGCCAAGCTGCACCTTCATTTGCCTTTTAGATATGGCTTGGTATGGTCAACTTTGTAGGGATTTATGTCTGTAACTGAAACTGTTTGAATGCCAATAGTATAGAGTTGTAGTTTTTCCTTTTGGACAGTTGAATTTTCAAGATGTAGTCCTTTGAAAAAGATATTCAGTTTAATTTACTATTTTCTTATGTATTTTTCTCCATTGAACTTAACAAACACTTTCTCACCTTGTGATCTTCCTATGTATCATTTTACTACCTGAGTGCTCTTCTGTGTGTCTAGCTCCTTGTCAATTTTCAGGTCTAGCTCAAGTGTCATCTATTCCATCCATTGTATATCTAAAGTAGCACTCAACCCAGCTCCCACCCCCACCCCTGTCACTCTCTCCCATCACCTTATTTTATTTCATTTTTAGTCTTTATGACCAAGTATAATGGTCTCATTTTAGCTTTTTGCACCTTTTTATCTTCTTTCACTAGACTACTAGTTCATCCTTCAGAATTTTTTCAGCTACCAGTAGACTTAAAAAAATTTCTTGTCTACTTTGAGTTAGTCTGAATTGGTTTCTGTTGCTTGCAGACAAGAAACCTGACTGATACAGAAATTGGTACCAGAAGTGGTTGCAGGCAACAGACACTCAGGGAAATGGGATTGGTTATCTGGCCTAGGAGGTGGGTTATTTTTGTTTCTTTATTTGTTTGTATGGTTTTAATTAACAAACACTTGTATAGTGTTAAACACCTTTACATAAATTATTTTATCTGATCCTCAGAATGACCTGTGATGATAGTTCTGAGGTAAAGACGCAGGCTTTATTATTAGCTCCATTTTATAGATAAGGAACCAGTCACATAAAGGTTAAACAACTTGCCCAAGGATGCATAGCTAGTGCGTAGAAGAGCTTCATTTCAATTGGTATGAAAGGCAGGGAAAATTCTCTTATTACTCAGGAATTGGAGTCTGGTAGTCCATGGGATATAACATTGAAGAACTAATGAAACCATTATGTCTGATTACTTTGACTACACTGCACACTCAGGGCAAGCTTTAGGGTCATGTCACTGCTGCAGAAAGAATGAAGGAATTCAAAGTCTACTGGTTTGAATGGACAACTTGAAGAAAGAATGACAGGATGTCAATTTGTATTTTCAACTAAAGGTGGAAACTCACACTCATATGCGCTAACATAATTTCTTATATTTAACAGCCTTAGGGTTAAGGTAGTTCTAAATTAAATTCACTGTTTAATTTAGCATGAGCCGGTTTCATATTCTTGCCACGTTTCCTGTTTGAGAATTAAGCTGTTGCTCAGGGAGGAGTGAGATCAACTATCCCAAACTGTTCTTTAAAGAGTCCTTCTGAGAAAAGGTTGTGCTCCTGAGGAGTGCTGTGGCAATCGTAAGGAAAAATATGTTGTTTTTGAAATACTTGTTTTGGTAGACATCTTATAATCAGAATTATTAATATATAATGTAAAATATCTGCTGTATATTCTAATTTGTTATTTGACTCATATAAGCATATTCTGTGTAAGTTGGATAACTCATAAAATGATCATGTTCAATGTTGAGAACTATAAATTCTTAAAAAAAAAAAAAAATCAACCAGAAACAATTTAATCCTATATCCCAAAATGGGATGTGTTACACCAGGGTTTGGCCAACTATAGCCTACGGGTAGTGTATTCTCCAAAAGTTTTTGCTGATTTCTATGTTACACCATACTTGGTGCTGGGGATACAAAATATTCAAGGAATCTACCACTCTTTGACTTACAAACAAGAGTTTCTCCTTAAGGAATTGATCATATAGCCCCCTTTTCTTTATTCTTTTCCTTTTATTCTTTTTGCAAACTGTGTTAGAATTTGAGCATGTCTGATAAGAATCTTCTAATTGTTCATAAGTGTTTTCTGTTCTCTTATGTTTACCATTTTATTTAATTTTATTTTATTTAAAGAGACTGGTCTCACTATGTTGCCCAGGCTAGACTGGAACTCCAAGACCCAAGCAGTCCTCCTGCCTCAGCCTCCTGAGTTGTTGGGACTATAGGCATGCACCACCATGCCTGGCTTTAGTTTTAAAAATAGTAATAGCTTTGTATATCAGCTGACATTGCTGTATAACAAATTATCCTAACAACCTTAAATCAACCATTTATTCTTTTGAGTCATTTTTTGTGACTATTATTTCTCATGAGTCAGAGGGTCAGCTGGGGATCAGTATATAAATCAAGACTCAACTGGGAGTGGCTCTGTATTTCTCATCCCCCTCCTGTTATCAGCCTGGGCAAGTCCTTCTCATGGTGGTGGCAAGAGTTTAAGAGAGCAAGTTGAAACAAGCAAGGCCTCTTGAAGACTAGCTTGGGACTTGCATACCATCATTTCCAACTCATTCTATTGGCCATAGAAAATCATAATGACTGAACCCAAAGAGTGGGGAAGTGTGTCTCACCCTCAGTTATATGGTGAAGGGTCTAAAAATTTGAGATTAATAATGCAGTCTATCAGAGTATGGTTTAGTATCAGGATGTAGCCGATAGCCAGCATTAGGAGCTAGGTTAAAACTCAAGTATTTTAACTTGTACTGCTTTTATACGAATCAAAGATCTGAATAGCATGGAATCATTCCTCAGAAGTCATTCTGTATGGCTACCAGGAGTATGAGGGCCCTAAATCCCTTAGTAATAATTAATATGTATTGAGTGCCGCCTTTGTGCCTAATGCCATATTAAGTTATGGGACTTTAGGAGGTTCAAGTCTAACAACAAAAACAGATCATGGACAAATACTTAGAAGATGGTGTGATACTTCCAATAGTAAAAATAGTTAAAGTATATAAAGGTAGCAACAGAAGAGAGGAGTAATCAACTCTGCTTTGCAAAAAGACATAAAAAACTTTATTGAGTCGGAGATATTCTTATTAAATCCTAAAGGGCATACAAGTCAGTGTTCCCTGCAGAAGAAGTTTAGGTAGAGAAGTACTGTTTGTAGGAAATATTATCGCAGTCTGTTAACACTTTAAAATTAAGAACTATAATTAAAATCTCTTGTTTGTGCCCAGATAATGGAAAAGTCTCTAAGAGCCAAAGAGTAACTTTATATTTAACTCCTTTGTACATTAGTCATTGCGATTCTCAAATGTTGGCATGCATCAGAATCACCTGGAGGACTTGTTGAAACACAGATTGCTGGACCCTACCCCAGAGTTTCTTATTTAGTAGATGTGGTACCAGACCCGAGAATTTGCATTTCTGTAATAACAAATTTCCAGATGATGCTGATGGTGCTGATTGAGGGATAACACTTTGAAAACTATTGATTTATTGAATCCTTTTTATGTAACTGGCACTTGCAATGTGGTGAGTATATAAAAATGAAAAAACAATCCCTGCCCTACAATTGCTCATGGTAGGGTGGTGGAGACAGACAAGTAAATGTATAATGATAGTAGAATGAAATGGATGCTGCAATAAATGGAAATACAGGTTACTATGAGAATACACCAAAGGGGCATCTGAGTCAGAATGAGGTCAGAGGTTGTAGGTATCAATATCTATAAAACCCAGAGAAAACCCTTAGTTCTGAGCTGAGTTTTTAAAAAGTTATAAAAAAAAAAAAAAACCAAAGAAATGACAAATAAAAAAATGACCTTGAGTCATGCTTAGAATGAGACTGGTAATAGTCTTTAATGTTGCCCTTAAGAAATTTGTGATCAAAATGTTTTAGACAAGCTGTTGCTCATATGGAGGACAACATGTCTGAATTATTTTGCAAATAAAAGATATCCTTTCCTTTGCTAATTTTACTTATCTTCAGCTATTTTTTAAGAAACCAGAGAAAACTATTATGTTTATCATGTGTGATTGTATTTTTTCACAAAAACTGCTATAAATTTTATGTATGGCAGAATATAGACAAAACTAGACTGGAGGAGGAACAGTCAGAGCTAGTGAAACACAGTTGGTTAGGCAGCTTGACCTGAGAATTCAGGTGCTGAGCCCACAGAATAGGATTAGCTCTTCATAGCAGTTGTAGGGTAGTGTGAGACTATGGGACACAGTGACAACTTTGCTCAAGAACAGTACTAATGCAATGGATATTAGGCCATGGACTCAGGCAGGGCTATAGATAGCTCTCACTTGGACATGGTAAGCTAGGTGATGACTTCAGACAGGAATTTATTAGAGGTATACTTGAAGTAGGCATCTGATTGGTCAGTTGTTCAAGTTATATGCCCAGAACATGGAGAGAGAACATTTCAAGTAGCTGGGCTAGTTTAGAGAAACAGAACTATGCTCTTGAGGTTGTCTTGGTAGTAAAGACATTGTGCCCTTTTTATGAAGCACTCCCGAACTATGCTGTCGTCTCAACAGGAATAATGGTCTGTGGGGCTTGTGGCTATCTGTCCATTTACATTTTTAAATCAAAGACATATACCTAAAGCTATGTAGAACATTTCATTTTAAATAGTTATGCTACCCGTGGTAAAGGAAGCTAAAGACAAGAAGAAATTATAAATAGAATGTTCAAACTTTAAAATCATGTAGTGCAAATTTTATGGAAGCTGAACTGTTAACGGAAATTATTTGTAGGGCTTTTTGTTTGTCCTTTTATGATATAAATTAATTAACAATGAAATCTTGTAACCTTTTTCTTAGCACACATCTGTGGATGGGTATACTGAACCACACATCCAGCCTACCAAGTCAAGTAGCAGACAGAACATCCCCCGGTGTAGAAACTCCATTACGTCAGCAACAGATGAACAACAGCCTCATATTGGAAAATACCGTTTACAAAAAACAATAGGGAAGGGAAATTTTGCCAAAGTGAAATTGGCAAGACATGTTCTAACTGGTAGAGAGGTAAGTTTACATGATGCCTTTTAACATTTGCCTGTACCCCTCTGGAGTCTTATTAAAAAGCTTTCCTTAGCTGATATTGAGAAATAAATGACAGTAGCAGTGTGGTAAACAATGGGATATCTGTGAATAGAAGACTGTTAGGTAGAGCTCCATCAGTACATGAAAGTTGATCTTTTAACATTTAGAAAAGAATCAACCCTCTATGTCAGCATCTCTTATAAATCAGGCATGATGCAAGTGAGCTTTCCTCAGGCTTCTGACTTTCATTGTGTGGTTTCTGTGAACATTTCTAATTACCATAGCAACCCAACAAGGGTAGGATAAGTTCTTATTGATTACTGCTTAAGATAAATCAGGTATAAATATGTAGAAAGTCAGCAATTAATTTTTATTTGTTTAGAGACCACATTGAGTGAGTATTACTGTACAGGTGGTTTTCTCAGGTAGTAAGACAGTTGAATTTCTAAAATCCCAGGCATGTGTTTTAAATTATGTGTATTTATATATTAAAAGATTATATATTTGCACATGTATGCATTTTGTGTGTATGTGTATATATACATATATACAATATGTATATACATATCTGTATGTTGGGGTTAAAGACTTTATTTAAATAAATAGCTAATATTTTGTATTATATTGTATAATGTTTATTGTATTATTGTACAGTATATCTGATTAGGACATTGTAAAAAAATCTCAACCATGAAATGTTTTTTAATAAGTTCTCACTTTGCTCTATACCATAATATAATTGTCACTTCCCATTGAATTGAACTCTTCCTGTCCATTCTGACTCCAGGAGCTATTCTAAGTCTACACTTGGAAGAGCCTTAGATATTCAAATCCTATTTTGTCAGTTTGCTATAAGTAAGCTTGGGTATCCAGTCTCTCTACTCATGTAAGCATTTTATTCACATAATACTTAACTTACTGTATGTTTATAAGCCACTTCTCTCTCTAATTGTTGCTTGTCAAGATCATGAGTAAAAGATTAAGATACAGGATGATTTTTACTTTAAAAGGGGAAACTTGGAAGAAATAACAAAGGCTCAATTTCATTGACTTAAAACCAAATAGGTTAAAGACTTAAGTCAATAGAGTATATTCTAAGGCTGCCAAGTTATCAAAACATTACTGTCCAATTATGTTAACACCCAAATGGAGCTTAATTATATCTTGTTAGGAATGAAACAAAAGATGTTTTCTTTGTAAGTTTTTATTTATTAAAATATGTATTTTCAATATAGTGTAATGTTTCTATTTTTTAGGTTGCTGTGAAAATAATAGACAAAACTCAGCTAAATCCTACCAGTCTACAAAAGGTATTTAATTTAATAATAAAATAATTAGAATGTGAATTTTTAATTAATATGTTGTCTTAAATTTAGAATCAGTCATCCTAAATTTCCTACTATATACAATACTATACCAATATATGAAGAAATTATGTAAAACATAATGTTGTGACTTATTAAGTGGTTTGAAAACTACTGCTTAAATGTATGGGGCATATGAAAAGAATTTATCTCTTTTAATTCAGTAGAATAAAGCTTTGTATCAAATATTTTGAAATATTTGCGATTTGAAGTATTTTTAAGTATTCAGAATTGACCTCTGAAAACTAGACTTTATTAAAATGAATAATCCATTTATCACTAGTGTCTAATGTGTTATCTCTTATATAAAATGTTGTCAGATGGTGACCTAAGCCATTTAAACTTTTGTAAATTTTCAGGTAAAGCCCTAAGACTTCTCTGGTAAGCTTCTTGATTAAAAATCTAGTTATAAGTTAATATTGTCCATAGGAGAGATTCCTTTTATTGCTCACCACTTCTTCTTCCACAAGAACTAGTCTGTTAGATAACTCAGCAGTAAAGGATAGGAACGATTCTTCAAAGGATGAAAATATGAAGTAGCATGGGGAGAAAAGAAAGCAGTTAGGATAGGGATTGCCTTAGTAAAACTAAAACTGTTTCATGTTACTTCATTAATTACTTAAATGGGAATACTTTCTCAGATACACATTTCAATACTTTAAAATGAAGCAAATACTTTAAAATATTTTTAAAATTTAAAAATGAAGCCATATATGCTGTTTGTTTATAGTAAGATAGTATGCATTGTGACTTTCATTAGTATATAATGAGATTAGATCATTGTCACATATATAAATGCAACACAAATGATTTTGAATTCCTAAAACAGAGAGAATCTTGTAAGAAATTTTTAGTAGATGTGTTTAACTATACTAGCTGTGATTTTAGCAGATTAGAAATTTGAGTTTGTGATATCAAAACTTTCTTCCCACTTGGCTCATTGCCAGATATCTCAGTTTATTTTTATATATTTCTTCTTGGAGATCTTTCTTTGTACTTACCTGGGACTCCTTTTAAATTTGACAACAAGTATAACTTTTCATAGCACTGGTATTTCTGCTCAGTGAGAACATGAAAGCTCTGCTGGATTCTAATTTTTCTGTGAATGCGAGATGATATATTATGAGTCTCTTCTGGAAGACATTCTTTTCTTCTAGCACCATTCTTTCTGTTAACTATGATTCATTTGTGTGAGTAACAAAAAGGCATCCTCCCAAAGAGTTACCCAAAGGTGCTGGTTTTACTGGGCTGGAGCCACAGTGGGACAGATTTTTGCTCACCTCTGTGCTGAGAAGCCTTTTAAAATGCACACACTGCCTAATTGTGCCCAGTGGCCCTTGTCCATGGCCCACCTGGCTTTTCTACTTTTCTTGGATTTAGCTATGGATTACTCTGGTAAATTGAGTGACTTTAAATGGCATTTAGAAGTACTCAGGCCTGTTGTGCTAGCTGAGATACACAGTAATGTGATCCCTACTCTGTCTTTCTCAAGGGGGCCCAAAGAAGGTTGTATAACCAGCGTTGTGCTTATTGAAAGATGTGAAAACGAAGCTGAATGTTGCTTTATTTATCTGAATAACATAAAAAGTAAACTTGATGACAAGTAATTCCTGTTACAAAATCTGCTAATTTTGCTGATGATATTGTTTTTTCAAATAGGCATATAAAAAGGATACAATTTTGTTTAATCTGTGAAAATAAAAGTAAAGATTAAGATTCACTAATGTAGCCAGTACACTGTGTGTTTGTTGTTTTTAAAATAATTTACGTTTATGTTCATGGATAATCTTACCTCCGGAAGTGTTTGGTTAAATCTTGTTCTGATTTGATCTGAATTTAATTTGATCCCCTTTTATTCTCTTCTGTGTATGATATATTTATAGGAAATGTTGCCTTCCTTTGCCAACATCAGTGATAGATAAAAGAATCTAAATTTGATGTGCCAACTGTTTAAAACTTCTAAAATACAAAGTTCTTAAAAGCAGTTTGGTCTTTGGGATTGTTAAGCATCTTGTTGGCTTCAACATTGTTCATATAATATGCTTATATTATTTGTATCACATATTTTGAATTAATGGAATCCAATTTAATTTGTCATACTTTAAAAAGTATTTACAGTAGATACCATATTTACTTCTTCCTCTTCAAAGTGTGAGTCCCATGCTTTGGAGTGTTTTTTGGAGGATTGTCCATAAACCATACTAAGGATCCCTGGGTAGCAACCTAGTAATGTTGAAGGAAAAGCAAAAATAGTGAAGCAGTATTGTTCATAGTTCATAAATTTGAAATGTAAGATTATCATTTTCTCAGAAAATTCCACTGATATTAAAACTTGGACACGTTAGTTTACACACAAATGACAAAATTGTATTAGTCTGTTTCAGCTCATAATCACCAGGATGCAGTTTATATTTGCCAGCGTTTTTATATCTTCTGTGTATTGTTTATTAATTTACATTTTCTTTTTTTTTTTTTTTTTTCTTTTAAATCTTTATTTTATTTCGGCATATTATGGGGGTACAGATTTTAAAGTTTCAATAAATGCCCTTTCCCCCCTGCCCCTACAAGTCTGAGTCTCCAGCATGACCATCCCCCAGATGGTGCACATCTCACTCATTATGTATGTGTATACCCGCCCTCCTCCCCCCTCCCCCCTGCCCAATACCCTATTACCGTGGTACCTATGTGTCCACTTAGGTGCTGCTCAGTTAATACCAGTTTGCTGGTGAGTATATGTGGTGCTTGTTTTTCCATTCTTGGGATACTTCACTTAGTAGTATGGGTTCCAGCTCTAACCAGGAAAATATAAGATGTGCTATATCACCATTGTTTCTTAGAGCTGAATAGTACTCCATGGTATACATATACCACATTTTATTAATCCATTCTTGGATTGATGGGCACTTGGGCTGTTTCCACAGCCTTGCGATTATGAATTGTGCTGCTATAAACATTCAAGTGCTGGTGTCTTTTTTGTAGAGTGTCATTGGATCTTTTGGGTAGATGCCCAGTAATGGGATTGCTGGATCAAATGGTAGATTCACTTGTATCACTTTAAGGTATCTCCATATTGCTTTCCACAGAGTTTGAACTAGTTTGCAGTCCTACCAGCAGTGTAGGAGTGTTCCCCTCTCCCCATCCACGCCAGCATCTATTGTTTGGAGACTTTTTGATAAAGGCCATTCTCACTGGAGTTAAGTGATACCTCATTGTCGTTTTGATTTGCATTTCCCTGATGATCAGAGATGTTGAGCATTTTTTCATATGTTTGTTGGCCATTCTTCTGTCTTCTTCAGAAAAGTTTCAGTTCAAGTCCTTTGCCCACTTTTTAATAGGGTTATTTGATTTTTTCTTGCTGATATTAATTTACATTTTCTATTTTTCTGTGATGCATTATATTCCAAGTTTATGAAAATGGCTTAGTGATTCAGAAGTGATTTTCTGAGTAGTAAAACCTGTAATGAAATTAAAAACAAGACTTCTTACAACTCAGAATTATGTTGTTCAATAACAGAGGACTGCTGCTTTAAAGTTATATAGAATGTGTATCCCTGTGCTAGGACAGTGATTTTAGACAAGCATGAAAAGTATTAAAAACTTAAATAATTAACCTCTGAGAATTAGTCCTTCCTGAAATGAGTAATCCATTTTCCAATGTCTGGTGTGTTATCTGTTATATAAAATGTTGTCAAACAGTGGCCTAAACCATTAAAGTTTTTGTGAGTTTTTGGATAAAGCCCAGAGATATCTCTGGTAAGCTAATTAAGTTTTCCAGAACATCTGCAAAATGATCTTTGTCATGTTGAAGAATTTGGTCACTAAGGTAGAAAAGAGAATAGAACCATGGCAGCAATATTCGGAATTCACTGTCTTAGCAAATTATCAAGAAAGCAAACTTGTAAAATCAATCACAAAATTATTGACAAATATTTTGATCAAGGAGAGAGCAGAAACAGCTCTTTGGCAATATTCCTTAACAAGTGTCTCTGTTGGACATATGCTGAAATATCAGTTACTCTCACATATGCATGCTTTATAGTATGTTTCACTTTATAAAATACCTGAACAACACTACTTTTGTGCTGAATACTTCTCCCATACAGTTCTTGTCACATATGTGGATCATTTGGAGAAAAAAACTTAACCAATTCCTTACGTGGGTCAATGAAAATCTAAGTGATAAGAGGATTGGCATTTTGTGAACTGGGTTTGTAGACTGCAAAGGTTTTCTTTTAATCAGTAATGATGAAAACAGTATTAGGGCTTTTTTTGAGGAGTGAGAGTCAGAGTATTCTGCAAGGAATGCTACTGCTTTGTGAATAAATAAGATTATAACTAATGCCCAGTCACTCATTCCTTCATGCTTCACGAAATTAGTGGTCAGCAACATGCCTCCTATCTTGATTTGGTTTTGAATAAAATACTGAAAGCAGAGTTTGTTATAAAATCATAGCTATTGAGGGTTGTGTCTCTTTAGCATGCAGTGTGAACAATTGGTGGGAGGTATACCTTTCACACTCAGATATGATGGATTTTGAGGGAAAAGATGTTCAAACAAGTTTTTTTAAGGTAATACCAATAATATTCATATTTAGCTAAAATGTCAATAGTTTAAATGTTGAGTATGAGATAACCAGATTTTCTGAGCAGACCAAACTATACAATTCACTGCATGTAGGTTATTGGAGAAAGGGCTCAATGACATATTATTAGGCATGTTTAACATACAAATGTTGCATACAAATATGAAAAATACCTTCCAGAGCAAGCATATCCAAAGAGTATATTAAGAATCTACTGTCTAATATCCCTGAAGTTGAAACTTTCAGTTTTTCAACTTTTGAGTGAGATAAATAAGCTCAGCAACCTAGAATTTGTCTGGGAGTTGTACATAATCTTCAGGGAGAGATATTTTTATAAGGGTGGATCCAATATTCAATCTGAGG